TGCTCACAAGGGATTGTGCTCATTTTTTGTTCAGTACAGCATTGTTATCACTCTTCTCTAAGACCTACTTGGCAATACTGAGGAGACAGGAGCTACATTTATTACAATCATTTCTCCTGTATAGTCTTGGCACAACACATCTCATAGAGATTCTTCAGCAAGATATGGAAAACAGAAAAAGGGCAAAGTTAATCTCCAGAAACCATTGCCCTCAGGTGTGTAGGCAGCTGCAGTTTCCCAGTGATCTGAGACTCCCCCTTCATTGGCAGTTCTCCCTCTTGACACCTCCCACTCCCGGCCAGGTGCACCTAGAGTCAGTGGCAGCTTCCCAGATCCCAGAACTCCAGCAGTTACCTGCCAGTGGTCCTACTAAACGTTCCCTGCTCTACCATTTGTAGGATTCTAATTTTTATGCAAATTATTTAGCCCACTATGTACGAACTCTTCATATTTTAATGCCAGTGGTGGAATAGCAGAGAAATGGTTTTGTTTTGCTTTCCCCAGTGACCTTCTGTTACAGGCCGAAAGTGCTGGCACCCGGGGCCGACGGCAGCCATTTGTTTCTTGCACTATCTAACAACACCGGCTTCTGGTTGTTGACTTGAACTTTTCAGCACTCTGCTCAGCAGGATTTGTTGCAGTGAATTGGGTCCAAATGCCAGTGAGAGGCCAGGTCAGCATTCTGGACTGTCTCACCACAGCTGTTGTGTGGATCTGGTGACAAGGGGCGGGTCAAGCTGGAGTTCTCGGCTGCTTTGGAGTGGATGACCTTGGCTGCAAGTGCAGAGGGAGGCAGCTGAGTCCGTCAGCCTGAATGCTGTGGGCCTTCTGGAGTAGGACCTTGCATCTGTGCTGGACGCTCAGCCTGGAGCTCAGGCTGACCTACACTGTTGTCAGACATGGACACGCTCTCTGCTGACCAGCCCAGTGTGTGTGCCACAAGCCTGTTACCTGGAGCGGGGCTTGGTGGAGGTACTTTAGAGCCAGGAGGGACTCTAGAGGTTGGAGTTGCCATTCAATTCTGCCTCCCCCCCCGCCCACACACACATTATTTCTATGACTCGGGCAAGTTTGCACACCTTTTTGGCCCTTATTTTCTCTGGCTGATCAATGGAATGATTAATCACATCTGCCTCACTGAGATATTAATCCATACACAGTATTTTGAGCACTTTGGGTCAGAGTCAGTGTCACATGAGAATAAGTTTTTATGACACCAAGGAAAGGCCAATTGGTGAAATAGTAGAGACTTGGGGTAGAGAGGGGTATGATTCGAAGGACAGCAACCCACCTCCAGGGCTCACAGCTGACTCCTCCGTAGGATGGGGAGGAAGCCAAGAGGTTTTCACTAAGAAAGACTCTGGGAGTCCGTGGGGCCCTGTGTGGGTGCCCTAACAGAATAGAGTGTGGACAGTCTTCCCTGTGGCAGAGAACATGACCCAGCAGGGCAAAGGAGTCAGCAGAAAGGTGACAGTCCCTGGCAGGCGACATAAGCTCAGGAGCTGACCTGGTTTGCTGTGAGCTGCAGGCAAGACAACCTCAAAATGACCTAAAATAGTTGAGAGGTAGAAACAATAATGTCAGAGGTCTGGTTTGAATCATACCTTGGTCATTAAACTAAATTACAAAGATTTGAAGAGCAGGGCCTGTCTCCATTATGGAGTGTTTCAAAGAATTGGGTATAGGCTAAGTTAACTCAATATTCCGAAGTAAGACTAATCCTCACTAAAGCTGATGTAAGGATCACATTTGACAATGCCTTCCTTTTTTTTTATAGTAACTTTTCAGTGCCCTGCTCAAAATAGAAATGGTACATATGTTGACTGATTAATCAGTTGAAGCTGATTCATTCTATTTTAGGGCAATATAGTCCAGTCTATGTTTGGAAAATCTAGATCCCTTAAGATAAGAGATTCTGCTTCTTAAAGAGCTCCCTCTTCCCGCAATTTGTTCAGTGCTTTTCAACTGTCAATGCTTTCAACAGAAAAAGAAAAAAACAGAAAAATATAGCTAGTGTTCACATAAGAGTGCCTTGAAATTTTAAGAGTGAAAGATAAGTTGCTAAAAATTGAAACAGATTATGATCTAATTTGTAAAAGATATAATACAGAAAAAAATATTGATTTGAACCCAAGAATACACAGAACATGTGATTGTCCTCCCACTGCTCACCAATTTGCTCGAGTGGGTCCAGTAACGTTTCCATTGTGAGACTTGTTGTTACTGTGTTTGGCATATCGAATACACCATACACCAGGCTTTGCTGTGTGGGCGAGATACTCTTGGTAGCTTGCTGGGCTCTCCGAGCGGAGGAATCGAACCCGGGTTGGCTGGGCCGGCAGTACACAAGGCAAACACCCTACCACTGTGCTATCGCTCCAACCCAAGAATACAAAACATGTAAATACTACACAGGATTAGACCTTGTTTTAAATGTACACTTGAAGTGCTTTCTCGTGAATCTTATTCAGGCAGCCTTTTGGAATAATGGAGTCTTATTCTTATTCAGGGCAATTCTTCAAAAAGTGAATAATCAGGAGGAAAGGCTGCTTTTTAATCCTTGAGTCCTCGTCTTCCATCTTTACTCTTCCCATCAGATCCTCTGGGCAGTAAATAAGTTAGTTTCTAAGCATTTTAAGTTTGACCTTCAGTTTCATCAATCATCAAATATATGACCTCTTGTTTGCAGATTTAGCTTCTCTCTTTTTTGGTGGGGGGATGGTCGGGAGGACCACACTCAATGGTGCTCAGGGTGTACTCCCATATCTGTGCTCAAGGATCACTCCTGGTAGGGCTTGTGGTAACATATGCGGTGCTGGGGATCAAACAAGGGTCAGCTGCATGCAAGGCAAATGCCCTACCTCTTGTACTATCACTCTGGGCTCACATTTTTTTCTATATAATATTTAAAAAATACATAGGCTTTATTATTGCCATTTTCTTAGAATCAGAAAAATATTTGTTAGCTTCTGAGTTTGAAATTGTAGAATTTGGGATGATTGAAATTGCTTGCTATTTAACTGTTAGGGAATAATGGGTATGCCAACTTTAATTCTATGGAGACTGAAGCAAACATCAAATGTGCCACTAATGATTGTCTGCTTTAATATGACTTTATTATGTTTCACTATATATTTATTGAATCAAAGTGTTTATTTTTACATGTATTCTATAAGGCATTTATATAGATATGAACAGAATTGCTACTTGAATAGTTTATTCATTTTTAAACATTCTTCAATTCTGTTTCAAGATCAGGCCTTCTTCCTGCTTGGCAGAAAGTATTATTTATTAATGTGGAATAAATTTTCTTCAAGAACAAACCAGGGTGATTAATACGTGCATTATTAAGCATATCAACTGAATCCTTAGAATAACAAAACATCAAAATGTGAACCACTGTCAGGTGCAAGCTTTTAAAACTTTAATTGATATAATTGATATGCAATATGTTTTACAACAAATGTAGACACAATGGCATCAAATATCAAAGAGGTTGAGCATCTTTGCATTTTTTTAATGATGTTGACTAACTCACCCTAAGAAAACAATGTAGCATTGATCTCTTGGTTAGCACTATTGTCAATATCAACTAGCACTTTAAAATCAAAGTTGAAATGGTACATTCATTTGCCAAAAAGAGGTTGAAGGCAAAGAAGGTGAATCAACGTGCAAATTAGCATCTGGACCAGTTGCAAAATTCATTTCCCAGATGCGATGGGTTGAACCATGCACCCTTGCATGCAAGATGAAGGGCAAACATGACATCAAACCAAAGTCAATTCTACGAAGAACCCAGTAGACTTCAGGATGGCAACGGCTGGAGGTTTACTACTACAGTTAGTGCTCACGGATCATACTGTGTTACCCTAACCTCCTGGATCCTAACTCAATAGTCTGTGTCTCAGATGATCCTAACTTTTAGATGGAAACCATCCTTCTTGGTCCTTGGAATGGTTCATTGTGTGGTTAGTCAGCTGCACCAAGGGATAGCCCAGGACAGTTGTCTGATGTGGCTGTGACACAGTTGTTATTTTTCAGATTTAAGTAAAAACAACACACCAATATAATAACAAACAAGAAACGGAGATCTCTTATATATATCTAATTAATACTTAAAATGCTTATAAATACTTTTCTCCAGAAACTGAAAACACTGTAGACATGATTTCACTAGTCCTCACAATACATTTGTGAGGTAGCATTGGGTGAGGTCTGTATGAAAGAGTCACCCCTGTTAATGAAACAATGACACAGATCTCCAGGGAGGCTAAGAGATATCACTGGAAACATAGGAAAAGAAAACAAAGCTGAACCCCACTCTTTCAGCATTTGAGAAATCAAGGAGACTGATTGCCTCCTTCTAGCTCTGGCATTTTCTCTTATACTTTATGTTAAGTCCTGTTCATAGATGTTACATGATTGTTTATGTCCACTAGAGCAGTGTTTCCCAACGTTTATCTGACCATGAACCCTTTCTGACTCTGTTTCTCTTCCGTGGCAGCCCTGTCCTATGGGTGGTTTCCCTAGTTTTGTGCCATCCAATGATCACCCTTTATGTAATTTCCATTCATGGTATCCTTGGACTATCCTGAGGGGCTCCAATAGGACCATATGGCCTCTAATTGAAAAAAATGCTCCACTAGCACCTAATCAGACTCTCTCCCTGAGGTAAAGGATGTCCGTTACGGGCATGTAGTTCTGATGCATGCACTTACATGTGCACATGTGCATGTGGGTGTGAGGGGGTATTAAGTAACTTTTGTCACGTTAAGTTGCTCAAATCCTTTGAACATTACACAAATTGGGGGAAAATGTACTTGGCAAAATAAGGTTCAACCCACAGGTGTTTTACACTAATAAAGAGAACATGTTAGATAGAGCTTATAATAAAGCTGTCACCTTAGGTCCAGGCAACTATCTTTACCACATGGCACTGGAAGTTCATAACACCAAAAAATTCCAACAAGTGCTCTTGTACAATAATTCCCCCCCCCCCCCCGGAAATATGCTCGCTGAGGCTGTGCGTGTTATCATTCAGGATTCCCTGGGAAGAGGCCAGTCCCTCTGACCCAGTATTTATGACTATAGCAACATCCAGACTGCACCTCTCCAAAGGTGTTTCATGGACAATTTGTCAAAATATTTATGGTCAGAGAGGGAAAAATTGGAATGTTTTGTTTCTATTGAGTCATCCTTTGTCAAATGGAAAGCCTATGAAAGGAATACCCTTAGGGAAGAGGCAATTGTCCCTTCTATGCGGGGCCAGAGGGAGCATCGTGTTTCTGAGAATATTCTTCTTTTGTCTTTCAGTAATCTGAGATATCAGAATTCCCAATATTCCCTGCAACTATTGTTGTAAAATCATGTCTTGCTGTTGCTCATTCTCCTTTGGGTTTGGGAATGGTTTCTGTCACAGTTTGGGGTGGCAGCTTGTGCTATGACACTGATCCTAGTGTGTCTGACACCAGAGAGGCTCAGAATGGCGAGACCGGGGGTTTCCTGCTGATCGTTGGGTCACAGCAGGTCCAGATTTCAAAATACAAATTGATCCAGTTTTAAGTTCTTTATGACATTGTAGGAAAATATTACACCTTCTGAAACAGGACCTAACGCATGTTTCTACTACATAAAATTAGGAGGTAAGATGCTGGGTGCTAATCTTGGGTGTTCTGGGACAGCTGTAGCTATGAAATAAAGCTCTTGGGGGAAAAGACAGAGAAATTAAAGGTGACCACGCATGCCCCCATCAACCTACTAGCCAATATACTGTAAGACAGACACTTAACGAATCATTTCATTTAATTAAAAATAAAAAGATATACTACTCTGTGGGTATCTTGTTCTGTCAGGATAGATGTTACAATAAATCAGGACTTCTCAAACTTGCCAATTGTGCGGGATGGGTTATCTGTACATTACAGGATGTTTAGTGGATCCATGGCCTCTTTCCACTAATAGAACCCCCGGGTTGTGACAATTAAGAACATCACCAGACACTTTCAAATGTTCCTCGTGGAATGGGAGGAAGAGGGGCAAAAATTAACTGTTGGGTTGAGAACCATTGCCCTAAAAACAAAGTTTTTCCCAAAATTGTGTTATAAAATTTTAGACTATATACCCAAGGGCAAATATTTATTAAAGAAAAATAGTGAGGGGAATATATTATAGGAATAAATGTGTTATCATGGAGTCCTTCTCCTATGGAACACCGTTCTGAGCAACTAAAGAGTGACTGGTGCCTTGGAAAACATTTATAATAGTTTACAGCCATTATAGAGTGTCACAGCAGTGAACCAGTTACTTAGTGGATATGAATTAAGATTTGTGGGCTCCAGCAGCATTGCATGTCTCTGACAGTAATGAAGGGCTGATCCCCAGTTTCTCTAAGGGTCAACCCCATGCTTGTCCCTCCCTTGCCTCCCACTCTCTCTCATTCCTCACACTCACTGTGGTGGTACCACATGCCTCTCCTTTTTTTTTTAACTCTGTAACTCAGCTCATTATCCTAGCTGCTTCCTGTGGAACTGCTGCTCTGCTTGAAGCTTGTGGGCTGGGATCCTACTGTGGTTGACTGGAATTGGCCTCATAGCGGACAGGTGGAATGGAGGGTGGAATAGGAGAGGTTACGCTGAGATGTGACAGCATCCTGCTACTCCGTCCCTGGGCTCACTCATCTCTCGGGGGCACTTTGCTGATTTCCTTTCATTAATTGGACAGCTCTAAGCTTCTTTCTGGTTTGTAGAACCAATCAGCATCCTGTCAGACATGACCAGTGCAAGAGAGATTTCAAAAGGAATTGGAGACCCCAGTTTCCTCACTCCTGACAGGGTGAAATCCTACCAAGTACTCATTTTATTTTCCTGCGTTGGTCTTTAATGAAACTTCATAAATTAAGAGTTGAGAAATACCACAAAGAAAGCGCTTTCTAAACGTAACTTCTGATGAAACAGCAAAATCTTTCTTCGGTCCTTTTCGAAGTGGGTTCGAGGGGAGGGTGCAGAAGTCTCCACCATGGGGTGTCTGGCCTGACTCGTTCCAAGTCAGCCCATTTCAGCCGCAAATCAGCCTACGCACGCCATGAATGATTCTCTTTGGACCAGAAAGGGGAAGTGGTTGCAGCCAGAGGTGAGGGAGGAAAACAGAACAATCATACCAACAAAACAGGGCTTTAAGATTGTCGCTCATGTGCATCAGGAACTTATGAATTCTACTGGATAAGCACTTATAAATAAAGAACAGTTCTTCCACATCACACGCCTCCTTCCTGTTAGGAGTCATCATAGAGAGGATTGTTGTAGTTGCCCCAGGACCCATAGTCGTGGTCATCCAACAGCCTTCCATAGGAGGAATGCCTGGAGGGAAGACAAAGGCAGTGGTTAGCAGGAGAATCCGATCGTTGGAGGACAGCCCTGAGACCCTGAATCAGGAGATTCACAGACTCAGCAAGAGGGTCACAGACATGTCTTCACTCGGAAAACCCTCCGGAGAGAGACCTGTCCATGCGGAGGCCCCATTCCACAAACCCCTGTAAGTTAGGATTGACCTTTCAATAAAGTTTGGCTGGGTCCATGCCCCTTTCCTCACTAGAAGAGGAGGAACCATTTCTATGGCTATTTAATAAGAAGTAATAAAAAAGGGAAGGTTGTATTTCTGGCATTTTGACAGGTCCTAGATTTATTTTTCCCTGAAATAATAATGACATAATTACAACTACTGTGTTTCTCACCATTCCTCCAGACATTTTTATAGTATTTTACAATATACAGCTGTGCAGGGCAGAGCAATAGTGCAGCAGGTAGGGTGCTTTCCTTGCACATGGTCAACACAGGCTCAATCTCTGGCATCTCATAGCCTAATTGGTCCACCAAGCACTGCCAGGAGTAATTCCTAAGTGCAGTGCCAGATGTAACCCCTGAGTACCGCTGGGTATGGCCCCCAAAAGAAAAAAATTAATGCTATACACACACACATTCACACACATATTGAACATCCAAACACTCAAATTTTACTTGATCCTCAAAATAACCCCATGGGGAAGATATTGTTCTTTCTTATTTATCTGATGAGGAAAGTGGGGCTCACAGATATCACTTAACACACCCAAAGTCAGCCAACATTGCTGAGAGTCAAATCTGTCCCCTGCATCTAAATCTAGTCTTCCGAATTCAGTTTCCGGGAGTAGATAACCCACATTCCAGGGTAATGTGGGTTAAATAGTCTTTGGTGGGTCATTCCGGGAACCTGTTCCAGAGTGAATATTATTTCTCTGAGAAATCAATGTCAGATTATTCTTATTCTTCTGTGCAAACCACCGAGTGGATCCTCATCTCATAGTCACTCTAGAACCTACGGGGTCTGATGCCTCTTATGATTCTGAGCACGTATGTTGTTATCATAGTTTCCTTGTTCCCTCTGCTACAACCACACTGGTCTCCACTCTCTGTCCCCTTTTGCTAAGGGTTTTGGTGCTCACTTATCTCTCAATTTGGAGCGATATCCTTGAGACATCACAGAACTTAGTCCCTTAGGTCTTTCAAGTCTTGGCTCAAATGTCACCCACTAGTGAAGACATCCTCATAAAAAGTCCTTGCTGAAATGTCAGCAACTTAGTGAAGACTTCCTTATGAACTCTGTTTGAACTTGAAACTCTCATAACAGCACACCCTGCTTAACTTTTCTCACAGCAATATGCATCACCTTCTAATACATTACTATTCACTTTTAAACTATTGCTCTCTTCCTTCACTAGACTGTAAGTATGAATTTTTAAAAAAATTTTTTCACACACATGTATATAACATTATAGCCTATATATTGGTTTTTATTTGTTTTGTTTGGGGGTGCACACCCAGCAATGCTCAGGGCTTACTCCTGGGTTTGCACTCAGCGATCACTCCTGGTGCATTCAGAGTGCCAGGAATTGAACCTAGGTCATATGAATGCATGGCAAGTACCCTAGCTGCTTAACTACCTTAACTATTGTTTAGGCCCCATTATAGCTTATATATTTATAATGTATAAAAGTCAGTCTATTCACAAGGTGGGAACTTCTTAGATATGATCATGATCATTGCAATCTAAAACTAGTAACAGGATTGGGACAATACCACAAAATGAGTAGCTGGTACCTTTGAGGTCCACGCTGGTGTGTGAATTATTATACCTTGCCATTGGAACTTACAGATGCTGTTTATAGGCAAATATGTCCACTCTACCTGTTTATTTTCAGATATAAAAATTGAATAAAATAAAAATACATTCCTAGAGGCACAAAAATGATTTTTCTAGATAAGTCGTTGAACTAATTGCTGTAGCTCTTCTGAAATTTATTTACTTGAGCATAAAATGACCTGCTTCCTTGAATCATTCAAACTCTTCACCTTCTATATCCTGATGTCCAGGGCAGGGTAATAGTACAATAGGTAGGGCGTTTTTCTTGTATGTGGTTATCTGGATTCAATACCAGGCAACCCATGTGGTCCCCTCAGCCCACCAGGAGTATTCCCTGAGTGCAGTATATGCTGTGTGCATGACTGGGTGTGTCTCCAAAACAAAAACAAAAATTCTTGTGTCCATTTGGAGGGTTTGCTCAGCTGGCTCCATCTATGTACCTGGGATCTTGAGAATATTCCACAATGTACTTTATTTTCCCTTATGGACCTTTCTCCATTTCTGTGGCTCTGAGAAGGAAAGAGGCTGCATAAACACACCATGGGTTCACGGGATCAGGGGCAGAGAGTGTGACAAAGGGAAGTTATGCCCATCCATCCATCACTTCTTTCCATTCCTCCCACATTTAACACCCCCAGTTACAATGCAATTCTTTAGCAGGAGCGTTAACAAGAGGAAGCTACAAGATGCACAAGTGAAACATCTGAGAATTATGAAACAGGAGCTAGGTCTGTGCTTTAGTGTGGCTTATTGTTGCAAGTCTGGTGCACACCGACCTCATAAATGTGTTCCCTTTATTAATGGGGTGCCCCTGTCTCACCTGTGGATGGTCATTGAACTTTTCAGTTTATATCTGTCATATAATTTTATTCCCATAAAATGTCAGCTTGGCCAATAATTTGACGTCTCTTGTTGAATATGTTTTTAGGCCCCTGTTTCTTTACTGATAAAATGAAGAAACTTAAAAAAAACTGTACTGGGGTTGTTAGGAGAATTAAATGAAGTAATGTAAAAGACCTGACACATACACACACACACACACACACACACACAATAATTGCTACACAACATTGCCTTTTCATTTTTCTATGATATTTACATAAGCACATGGCAAATCTGTAAGTAACACTGAGTGAAAAGTGAATATCCCCACACTAGAGGCTCCTACAACTACCCTCCAGATAGCTACAAAACCAGCTTCTCACATACTGTGATGCATATTAAAAACAATATTTTCATTCTGAGGGCCAGCAAGATAGGACAGTGAGTATGGTACTTACTTTGCATACAGTCAAAGTAAGTACCAACACACACACATACAGAGAGAGAGAGAGAGAGAGAGAGAGAGAGAGACAGACAGACAGACAGACAGACAGACAGACAGACAGAAAGCGAGAGACTGCATCTCTCCACCCCAGGCACCCTATATGATCCCTTGAGTTCCTACAGGAGTAATCCCTGAGCACAGAGCCTGGAGTAAACTCTGAGCACCACTGGGTGTAACTCCCCCAATCCCCCAAGACCCGCCCCAAACAAAACAAACCAAAATAAAAAACCTCAGTCTCTTGGACTGCTTCATCTAATTTCAGTACAAATAGCAGTGCATTAATGACATCATCATTAGGTGACAACAGTTACATTGATTGGATTCCTTCATAAAGACTGTTTGCTCCCTCCTTTGCTTTCTACTTGCTATTCCTAAGCACCCCCAAGATGGCAAACTCATTTGGGGGTACACTACATCTTACCTTCCTTCTAATTTTCTGAATATCTAAGATGTTGCTCTTGATGCATTGGGTTATTTTTTTTTATAAATATTTGATGATAACCACTTGCAATCAGTAGGAAACAGTGTAAGAGAATCTGCTTGGCCAATACCAGCAGGAAGAAGTATGTGCTGTGATAATTCAGTGTGCAATGTAATTGTGACAAAGTGAAGATATCTTATTAAAAAAACAAAAGGTCAGTGCTACAATTTTGACCTTAAAGACAGAAATTGGAAAGTGAATTATAGCTAAATTTCTCCCATGAGATGGGTGCATTTAAAGCACTCAGCACAGAGCTTCCAGTCCCTGTAAATCAATGGTATTGCACTTATTGACAATGATCTCTACTATTGTACAGTTTAGGTAGCTAAAGAATAATCTGAAGGGGTAAATTGGGAAATAATTGAATACCTTGACCCACTGCTTCATTCCTAAGCTTCGCTTAAATGGAAGCGGCACTCCCCTACCTAATCAGTGATGCCTTGTTGGTGATAATTGGTACATAGGTATCTTGACATTTGCTGGGACAGCGAAATGGTAATTTAGATAACTATGGCATTAATACTTAATGGAATTCAATTGACTTTGAACATGGGTGAGATGTTTTACTTTCCTTGAGTTGAGACCTGTTTTAGCAAACCTTTCTAAGTGTTAACTCCACTTCTCCATCAAGCCTCCCTCTTTGATCCTTGCACCCCTCCCAAAGTCCCCTCCTCTTTAGTCAACTGAATTCCACCACTCCATCAAAAGTGCTATCAGAGCTATAAAGATGAATAAGATTTTGTTGTTTAGTGTTAGCAAACAACAGGTGAACTTAAGACTCTCTTGTCATTATTAATTAAACCTTGAAGTCTAATAATCCATTAGAAAGTTTAGTTTGGGATACCTGTGACTGTCTCTTTACTGGATGCTTTTCTTTTTCTTTCCTATTTGAGGATTTCTGTGTATGATCATCATCTCCTTATCTGGTTTCTTTCATTTATGCATTGAGACCTAACTATCAAACCATCAAACCCTTTTCTAGAGACTGGGGCATAGTTAACTGAACAGATAAAAATCTTTATCCAAGAGAGCTTACACTCCAGTGGGAAAAGAAGCAATAAATAGACAATGAAAAACAATATGGTAGATGGCAGTAAGTGCAATAAAGGAATACAAAACAAGGGAGGGGCATGAGGAACTCCAAATGTGAGGTGTGAGTTATCATTTTGAATATGCTCATGATGGCAAATCTCACTAAGATGAAATTTCAAAATTAAGGTAAAGCAAATGTAGGATGAGAAATGGACGCCTGAGACCCAGAGTAAAGCAAATGTAAAGGGTCTGGGGGTAGAACCAAGTAACACATTGTGTGGGAACTTTTGAGCTACAATTTTTTTCAAACTAAATTTTCCTTCTGGAGTAGTGTTAGATTT